TCGAATGCAAGATGGGAAAGCTCTCATATATATATATATATATATATATATAATGATAGACAGATACTTGTTGGCAAGTTCACTAGTCTAACTGACAGTTCGCCTATACGCTTAAATTGCTGTACAATTAGGCATGTAATCTTCCGTTACGTACACGTTTGCTTGTGTATGTGTGAGGGGGATTTTAACGTAAGTTCCTTTGTCTACACAATGTATTGCTACACTTGAACTGTTACACAAACACATGCAAACTCCACCTTCTCCTTTCTCCATCTGTAACTCCTCTCCTGCCAAACTTACAAACATATTCATTTATTTGTAGAGTGAAATATGTTCCAACACTCACAACATAACCGGTGAAAATAAAAAGTAACAAGTATGGTCAATAAACAGAAACTAAAACCTAATTGAATTAGTGTTATGTGATGTCTTCTCTTCTCTTCTCATCTCTATCACGGACAAGATACCTTGTTTTCATACAATTAAACAACACACTTCTACAAATGAAAAAAGAGCTTTTCACACTAACCTTCTGAATACAATGTCATCATTACTACAGGCTTACAACTTTATTCATGAAAGGGTTTGCACGCAGATAAATCCATGTAGTGACTTCATATTCTTCAACATAGTTAACTCAAATTTCGAATGATATTGCATAACTGAAAGAAGAAATACATAATGACATTGGTGTCATCATGACAGCAGGATATGATGTGATTATGCTTGTTGATAGGGCATATAATAAAATGCCAAATCTCTACATTATTATGGTATTAATTAATAGTTATGCCAAAATAAAGAGAGAACTTTCAACACATTTCTGATGATCCTAGTCATAACACCAGGGATAAAAGACAAACTGCCTATAGATAAATCATTTATGAGTTCTAGTTAGTCATAGAAACTTTGAATTCAGGATGAACGAAACTTACAGCTTGTTTAATATGTTTCAAGCCTTATTCAACTCTCGATTTTCCAGTATTCTCAATTTTCGAAAAAAACTATGTCTAGCTTCTGCAAAGCGAGTTCACATTGCAGTACACAGTTACAAGTTGAGTCTAAAACACTAAGAGCACGCTTTCTCACAAGTCCTATCCCCCTTATATTTTTTAGATATATAGATGTAATAATCTAGTAGTTTTCGTAAGTGCAGATTTGTAATTCTGTCAAACATCCATTTATCTAGTCAGTGTTTCTACTCTGACGACTTTGATTTTCCACTTAATATTCACTATCTCGTGGAGACTATCTAGATTAAATTAGACCTCAAGTCAAACAGTGCAAAGAAGTTTTATGTACTTCTTATTTGAGAGAAGTTCAACATGATGACATTCTTACTCACTCTTGAGTGCTTAGGCTTTGTGGATTTTACTGTGAGAGTTTTAACCATTCAGTATCTATCGATTCCTATATTAAGTTCGTTCTTCAAAATGTCACCATCAGTGAGATTAATCGAAAGGGTTGTTTATGGAATAAAGATATGACAGTATTCTGTCAGCTGCCTTTGAAAATATCTATTCCTATGTTATCAGACAGGTAATTTCAGTTGACCTCCTGAAATAATCTGGCTAGACTGTTTTTCTCTCTTTCATACCCAGTTAAGAATAAGTAATCCGATTGAAGTGAAGCTGTGTTTGATTTCTTGACCTGGGTTGCAGTCAGTCTTTGTACCATTAAATAATATGCAGCGTTAATCTTCCGAGTTGAGATTGTCTGTTTATTTAACATTCATCTTCATAAATATTATTATATGATTTAAATAATGTGTGCATTGAATTATGCCAATTAGCATACATTTTACTTAATTTCCTGGGACTGAATCCCTTAAAAGGACGGTAATCATTTAATGCCTGGTAGTAAATTCGTGACTTTCATGCGTAGGTAGGGGGAGAGGGGGCTAATTATTCTGTCACCGAAGAATGCAAGCATTTTAATAAAATATCATGTAATCAGTAAGCTGTGAAAGTGTCATACTGTAGGAAAGTAAAGTTAACCCAATACATCATTCTCGAGACTGCCGACAATTCATACATTTTTATATAATGCAGAACATTTGAGTTTTCGACATTCTTCATACTTCTCTGAGGTTTGTTTTGTGCTTCACTTTTCCTTTTTTTTAAATCTCTACCACTGCGTATATCATCAAAATAAGTCAGTTTTTGACATAAACCACTTTTAGCGTACTCTTAACTATTTTTATTTAACTAGAAACTGAAATTGATTGAGAAACTACTGCTTTAAGCGTAAACCCCACTGTCCAAGTATTTTCATTGATTTCTCTAAAAAAAGTAATGTATGGCGTTTTGTAAAAACGAGGGGGCTTGTTACTGTGTTTCTTTTCGAGAGATAACGTGAAAAAATTGCGCTTGTACAGATATTCATTCAGTTTTCTGAACTAAGTCATTGATCTTTTTAAATTTCTCAGTAGTCTATTATATTATATGTGCAGTAAGCTCTCTTTTTTTTAACGAATAGACTGACTTTATATGACACATTTACTTGATTGATGGATTTGTAGTGATATCGTTTGATGAATTTTATGAGTTACTATTTGAAGATGAATTGTGCATATATTCCAAAGTTATAAGCCTTTTAACATACTAGACATCCAATGATAAACATAACATTGACAGTCGTATGGTGTTAACCAAAGCGAGATTTCATAGTTGATCGATATGACTGGCATGGAGACGTCCATGTGTAAAAAGGATTATCTCTCCGAATAAGTTTCTTTTTTAATACCTAATCGCAAAATAGGAAAGCGGCCCAGACGAGAATTTCTGCTCTACTTCACCAATCAATTGACTTTGCATACGGTTTTTACATGAAGCAGCTGGACAGAGAGATGTTTCTTGAAAATAATAGAACACAATAATAAGGCATATCTAATATAATTTTATGGGTAATTGGTGATAAATGGAGGGAAGGGATAAGGGTGATTCGTCGTGCCAGTGTTCTGTTTTATATGCGAAAAATGATATAATACTTTAACTTTTTTTATTGGAATGTAATCCTGAATTCATTTACACTTCTACTCTGTTCACTGTTGCAGACCAGTCAATAAAGAGTCCCTGAGTTAGCATATATTAAACTGATAAATCAGACATCTTATATCCTGTCATAATTACCGGCTTTAATTATTTTGCATAAGTTTAAAAAGAATTCTACGCCTTCATGTATAACAAAGCCCTCATAACTTCAGAGGTCAAATCTCCTCTTCCAGAACAAGGCATTAAATATACCGAATCTTATGGGAGAATAATTTTTAAGCAGAAGTAGAGTCACGCTTCAGCTAATCTGAGCATCTTTATTACATCAAATGTTGGGTGAGCTGTTATTAATTTAACTAGCAATAACCAATCCATAATGACTAACTTTGTGAGTGTGTCAACTTCAACTGTCCCACTTTACTACAAAATTCTGTACTGAGAATTAACTGATTTCAGTTAGTGATAATGAAGGCACTTGATCAAAAGGCTTTGACAGAGAATTCATTTCATTACCTTCTTCCGCTTTCGAATCAAATATATGCACACATTTTGTCAAGTGTGCTGATTCAGTTTACTAAAGTATCACAAATTTACGAATTTATACATAGTGTCAGTGTGAAAAAAGAATTTTCCTTGTATGCCCATTTCTGTTTGCCAGATAATTATCGCAACAGATAACAAGCAGCTATTCCTATAAACATTTGTATTGTGATCTTTTCAATGACTTTTCATGTATAACCCAGCCAAACCATCAACTCTAAATACTTCAGGGTCGTATTACTAATTAAACATAGGCACAGGATATATTTGTAAAATAGTAACAATACCCTCACAAGAATAGACTAGCTAAAATAGTTGTTTTGCAAATAGTGAGATTTATAAATCGCATGTTTCTGTCTTACTTTCATAATTTACAGGTATTCTCGACAAATGTTTTCTCCCAAGTATTAGTTTTGTAGGGATTTTCTTTGATTGGTTGGACAGATTTATCATGAGCCGACATCACTAAGAAAACCACTGGAAAACCTGGGAGTATTGGACAGCTGTTTCGTCCTAGTTTGTAACTCTTCATCGGCACTCATACACCACCAGGGTTCGCACTTAGGACCTTCTGGTTACAAGAGGAACTCGTAGACCATTAATCCAGTTGAACCCAGGAGCCCAGGTTTTCAAAAGGTTCTCTAACAAATGTTTTTTTTATTCAATTCTTTTGAGTTCTGACTGAAACATAGCGGTTCAAGTTTCAGCCTTGAAGTTTCAGTAACGGTGGTCAGGGTTGCTAGTCTCAGGCTCAAACTTCCCTCTTTATTGGGTTTACTGTTGGCTTAGAGAGGTTCAGGAGTGTGTCAGTGAGTATTCGGATCTGGACTACGGATGTGGTTGGCGAGCATTCTACTACTGAATCATCGACCAAGTTTGTAAAACAAACATCTTAAACTACGCCTAACTTTAAGTGGTACTACATTCACTGGTGTATAATGTTTCTCATATAAGCGTAAGAAAAATATATGGGACCTTTCAAGTAACCAAATAATGCTCACTTTACAGATAATCTTTCACTTTCTGATCTTCAGGTTTTTACCAAATATCTTGAGTTATTATCATCAAACACAAATGTGTTGACAGAAGTTCCAATGAGATTTGCTTTCATTTAGCTTATTATAAATGCTGAATGGAAAAATTGTGCGTAATATCTTATAGTAATCTTATTATCATAATGCACTGCTGACTATTCTCATTTGCATACACTAATGTTTGACAGTTTACCCTAATAACTGTGAAAGTTATTCTAATTACTCCACTAGTAGTAATGTGCAACTAGTGCTTGTGAAAACATATTTCTTCTTTCATAATCAAAATCAATTAAACGATTCAACGAAACCACGCATACACACAATCTATCATTAAAGCACAATTCTAAAAAATAAAACAACAAATATGACAAAGTACTTTCAAATATATTAAATCCGCTTTTTGCTTGCTTCTCCCTTTTCTCAAAATTTGTAGAGTGACTCAGTTGGTCCAAGTCCTCTGGCCCTCTTGGCTCGTACATGTCAAAATATTGGTAATATAATGGATTGTGGAGTTATTTCCAACAGATTTATTTCGCCTACATCAAGTGCAGCACGTAAACAGTCAAATATTTGTCCTCTGCAATCCACAAATAGTAAGACTATCAATAACAATATATCTAAGTCAAATAAATCCAAAGGATCTATTCCGAATGAAATTAATTCAGTGTCATTCAGTAGGCGAAATGTACCTTCCAAATACTTCTCTGTTAGTGAAATTTCAAAAGTAAATACAATGCCTAATTTTGGAGGAAGCGATCCACAGAACTCTATCTTAAATGCTGCTGTCAAAGCATCCCGTGTTACTGATTCCACAGTAAAACCTTCAACGTCACACCAGAATTCCAACAGACAGTCATCTCCTATTTCTGTGCCCTCCAGTTTGTTCCCCCAGGTGAATACAGTAAAAATGGACTCTTCGATAACATTTAACAATAATTTCCTAAAGTCTGATGATACACATCAAACATCGAATGCTCTTGCTCAGTTGGCCAGACTATCTTCCAGTTTCTCATTACCTGAAAATCCTAAATTAAGCTTTACAAATTTAAAAAGTTCTACTAATCTTTCAGATAATAGAAACCAATGGATTGATACAAACAATAATATTAATAGTAGTCAAACACAATATGACCTACAGTCATTAAAACGAACGAAACGACGTGCTAATTCTAATTCTAAATTTCCTTCCACACCTGAAGAGTGCACCTCACCAAATTCAGCGAAAAGATATATGAAGGATGATAATTATCCATCCTTTTGGAACCCTGTAAATTCCTATCCAAATAATCGAGATTCTGATCATTCACAGAGTGAACTGGAAAACCCTCTTGGTATCAGCATTTCACCAAATATGACAACTAATGTTATGAATAACCCATCACAGTCAGCAAACTGGGCTAATATTTTTAAATACAATGAACAATTACTTGCATATAAAGAAACTTCAAATATTATGCATAACAAAGATACACAAGAGAAATTTTCTTATCATCTAGCTCGTAGTTTCTTAGACTTTTTTTACGGAAAGCTAGCCAGCTCCATGAACTCTGAGTCGCACAACTTTTCTACTACCAAGCATAATCCGCTTTATAAAGAAAATGATCAAAAGACAACAAATCATTCCTTTTCAGAAAATGAACGTAGACCGATGGATTGGTTAGATAATGCCAACTTACTGAACAGACAACAAACAAGTGTACCAGTTAATCCGTCAGTACATCATTCTTCATCAGCACCTTCTAATTCATTTCCTTGTTTATTATGTGGTCAGGCTTTTCACAGTAATGCTGACTTATGCGCTCATGTATATACACATTTACTGACATTCCACGAAACAAAAAAATCAAATAATTCGGAGCCTGTTCTAAAACTTTTGCACTCTGAGTCTAACCAACTTCGAAATAGGCAGAATGGTGTATTCAGTGAACAAAGGAATAGTGATGTACGTACACCTTTCTTTTTGCCACCACCGCCAATTCTACCTCCACCGCCTTTATCTGTTGTGAGTACTAGTGCCCCTGGCATCCCGTCAACCTGTTCTATGAATTATAATGTCGCACAATCTTTCTCGACAACTGACCCATCAAACCATTCATCTAGTCCTTCAGATTCAATGTATTTGTTTCAGTCTTACTTATCTCAGTGGCTTGCCCATTTCAGTAACTCCAGTTCAAACTACCAACCCAATGATACAACAAATTATAATCCAATAACAAATTCATCTTGGACATCAGACACAGTAGTAACGAACAAGTCAAGTGAGTATGAAAACTGGCAGGGCATTTTAACTGCTTATCTGCATTCTTTAAAAGAATCTGCATCAATTTCAACAACGACTTCAGCATCAGAAATGCAGTTACCGTCAACAGGTGCAACAATGAACACTGCCTCTCCGCTAACACTTCCTTTACCGCACTCACTCCATAGGACTGAAAATCCCAGTTACTATGATGTCCTATTTGGCTCAAAGTCCTACATAACACCTTTTCCACAAAGTTAGCGCCACTTCATTTTTGTATACGCTATATAAGTACACGAACATTCACATCTATACTTCTCAATTTATTCATTTCAAAGTATCTTTTCTTTATTATCTTTGTTTTATTTCCAAAAGTTAGCTTTATTGCCGGTAAGTGATAAATAAACACTGAGTGAAAATGATTAGAGAGAGGTTGCAAGTCAACTTATACCAACAATCTGTGATTTTGTTTCCAGGAGAAAGTTGTACCTATTCATTACCATTTAATGTGAATAATTCTTATCATAATGAAAACAATATTAATAATAATAATAATTAGCACTTACAGAACAAACAGACTGTGCAAAATAATGAATCATAATCATGTACACAATTTTAAATTTATTAACTTATTTTCAAAATAAATCTTTATTACCTGTAAGTGAAGTTCTAAACGTCTTTTTCAACAAAAAAGAAGGGAAAACATCTCAGTGGGGCAATATGTCGCATTTTTCCTACGTAACTGTCCTGTCCCTCGTAGGGGGGGGTGACAGCGATTAAATGTTATTTCTGTACCGACTGGCCTGATTATCTTGCAGTACATAAATCAAAATGAAGTTCTTATAAACCTGTTTAATACACTAGAAACTACATGCTACAAGTTCATCAGTAAAAGATGAAAACGGTACAGAAGTGTTGACAATACTCACGAAACTTCTTTATCAAGTCGAAATGCGTACATTCAATTATTTTTATTTATTTTATTCTTTTACGTCCCGAGTGAAATACAGGAGTTCAAGCTACAGCTTTGAAATTTCGGTAGGAGTGGTTTTATTTTTATGGAGTAGGATTGCTAGCCTCACGGCCAACCTTACCTTTAAAATGGCCATACTACTGGCTTAGTGAGGTTTAGTAGCACGCTGGCCGGCGATCGAACCCAGGATCACGTGTGTGGTTAGTGAACGTTCTACTACTGAGCCACCAACGCACGGCACGTCCAATGGAATCAGGAAAAAATACATTAACATGACTTACAACTAGCTGTAGCAATCTGTAAGCCTTCAGACTTTTTATTTAAGATGGATCAGTTCATTAACCTACTCAATATTGACCACTGTAAAGCTTATTTTCCTAATTCGATTATCAAATAATTTTTTAAGAGATTATGTTGATTTTGATAGTAGCGTGTCCAAACAGACGAACAAGTGTATATATATATATCCTACTGTTCCACCGGAAGAGTCATGCTTTACCAAGTTTTTAAATGCACACATTACAGAATATTACTGTCTTCATTACATCACAACGATATAAGTATACACATTATTGTTATGCGTATTTCACGACCGAAATAAAACTATCACTATTTCTGCTGTCTGGTATGTTTTTTTTTCTGCTTTATTATTATCATCCTTTTTCAGGAAGATTAGTTTATGTGTTGTTACATGTAAAACGATGGTTAGTTTTCCGCACATCAGTAAATGTGCGTGTTCATTCAGGGTTGGAAATATCTGTCAGAATTGTCACTCAGAGAATCAACATCATGGGATGATTTTCACTAGTACATACACAATTGTATAGAAGCAAAATTAAAGATTCTAAAAGAGCCAAATTGAGACTAATGCATGGAAATTCATATCAGAGAATAGAATCTTTCTTTTGAAAACATGTTTTACAGTTGAATACAAGTCAGAAATTTTTATAGCTACTGATTAGTGTTTGTCATCAACTTGGCCAGAAAATTATTATTGTAATGAGCCTTCTCACAATCACCTTCGTCATCCTCATCGTCATAACTATCACCACTGACAACACTGTCCTGATTGTAGTAAGAAGTGTAAAAATTTCATCATCATCAAACAAAACCGAGTGATGATGGGCCAAGCTAATGCTGATTACCAAAATGTTGTGTATGTGTATGATTGCCTGATTGAATGCGTGTGTAGGCCAATTTCTTTATCTAGTTTTCATCTTTTCTTTTCTACTCTCTATCTTTTATTATTTTAAGTGAAAATTTTAATGTACAAATTTGTTTATCACTGTGATTATAATCATGGTTGTAGATGACATCACTTCTTCTATGAATCAGAACGCATACACACACACGCACACGGACAAACAAACAACCACATAAAAAATCCTACTTTTGACATTTTTGTTGATTTAATCAGGAATTAATGATGACTATTTTGACAGAAAGACAAGCAGCAGACAGATTTTGACTTGAACTGAAGGCTGAATGAGTGTATGAGACAATGGCAGATTAGTATTCAACAAGCCTACTCACAAACATACACACACACAAACACGACATCAGACATTTTGTGTTTATTACCACTCTATGATGAGTGAATTCCACTGCACTAGATATTAAGTTAAGAAAATCAGAAAAAAATATTTCTGCTGATAATTTTAATCACTGACAGTTTGATGGGTTCATGCATCAATGCGTATGAATACTAATCCGAGTGATTATGTGTGCGTGTAAGGGCTTGTCTGCATGCATGCCTGTGAGATTCGTAGGTCATCACTATTTTGAGGGTAGCTATCAAGTGACAAAATGACAAAAAGCGACATTTTACTGTATACTAAAGGATTTGATAACAGTGGTCACAAATGACGATGAATGCAAAATGTGTAATGTAACAAGGATATATGTGTATATATTCAGCCAGAGATCTGAGAAAATACACTGACATCATGAACCGAGTAACCATAGTTATTCTACAGATGGAACAAGGATAATTAATGCCCAAGACTGTTGACTGAATCCTAATTTTCTGACTTCAAATTTTCTGCGCTTTTAGTATATATAAAAGGAAAATGTGAACATAAACAGATTGGTCCTCTCTACCCGAATTGGAATGCTACTGCATAAATTCAGTGGATATACGTCTGTCTCCGAAGAAGTCATATAGCTGAAATAAATGTCTTCCAAAAATGCATGTATCCGGTCTACTTACCGACGAATCATTTGTGTGTTTAGATTCACTGGCTTCAAAGGTCATCAGAAGCATGTTGTTAGTATGACATCGGTAAACTCATCAGAGAAAGGCGATTAACAGAATTCCTGTAGTTTGAACTCACTAGATTTTTAGCTGAGATTTTTACATGGAGTTTTTCTTGAACCTATGGTACTGTACTCGTGTTGTTTGAACTAGGAAAATAAATAAAGTAAATCGAAGATAGCTAGTACAAGGCATACTGAATCAAATGACAGTAAGTTTTCTTCAGAGGAAGTCTCAGCATATATAATAGTTCATCGTTCTTTTGCTTCACATCACTTCACTTTAAACAATTTGGTGAATTTGAATAAGGTATTTGGAAGACAAATTTCGCGAGATGATATCATTTCGTAGTTTCTTTACAACCGCTTTACAACTAACATGGTTAACAATAATAAAATAAAGTTCATGACAATAATCTGGACTGGTTTGAAGTTAAACTGGTGGACATTTCTCACCAATTTCTAAATGCTAGAATACACCAGAAAAACGGTTTATCAAAAGAACACCACTTAAGGAATCAATCGAAAAAAATGATCTTATTATCCTTAAACCTGATAAGGGAGAAGGCGCTACCATCATGAATAAATTGGATTATCAAAATAAAATGAATAACATCCTCAAAGATCAGTCTAAATTTCTGGTGGACAATGCTACTGATTATGTGCTGCTTGTGGAAAAGCAGATCAATCGTCAGCTTCAGATATTACTGATGCATGGTTTTATAAATGAAAAACTTTATAAACAACTTAAAGCAATTGGGTCACATACTCCCCGGCTTTATGGCCTTCCGAAGATCCACAAAACTGGGAACCCACTGAGACCCATCTTAGGCATGTCGAGTTCTCCATATCATAAAATCGCAAAATGGATTACAGAGGTCCTTACGCTAGTAAGAGACTCATTATCAAATCATTCTGTAAAAAGTTCATTTGATCTGACAGATATGCTAGACACCTTGAACATTAAGGAAAAGGCTATGTGTTCAATTGACATAGAATCTTTATTCACCAATGTTCCTATTCATGAAACTGTTGATTTCATTTGTGATTACATCACAAGCAATGGGATAAACTTACCTATTCCTGTCACTTACATCAGAGACATCATCTTAATGTGTACAGAAAATATTAGATTCACCTCCCAAGAAAAGGCATACAAACAAATCGATGGTGTTGCGATGGGGAGCCCTCTTGTGCCCCTGTTAGCAGATATATTCATGTCAAAATTGGAAAAACAAATGCAAGGTATGCTTGGAGAATTTATGCTATATAAATGTTATGTAGATGATACTCTCATTATTGGTAATAACAGTAAATGTATTGAAAACTTTATTACCCTATTTAATCATATTCATCCAAATATCCGAGTGACTTCCGAACTCGAATCGAATAACAAACTCGGTTTCCTGGATATTACAATGACCAGGAGAGATGATGGAACGATTCAGCGATCTATTTTTCGTAAACAGACATGGAGTGGACAATATCTTCATTTCACCAGTTTTGTTCCTATCCAGTATAAACGTTCCCTAGTGAAATGTTTGTTCTCAAGGGCCCGAAAAATATGCACGAGTGACACATTGATGGATGAGTTTCGACATATACATTCAGTTTTATTAGCTAGTGGTTATCCAGAAAACTTTATCACTTGTCACAGTAAAGAAAGACCACATCTCGAAAAGACAGCTTCTGTACCAAAGAAAGCTATCTTTATTAACCTACCATTCAAGGGTGACCAGATTATGCAGTTGACAGCTCAAAGACTTCGGTCAGCCATCAAACGCACATTCTACGCCGCATCTCTTTTTCTCACTTGCCGAACATTTTCGATCCCTGTACCTACGATTAAAGGACGAAATTCTGTGGACTCTACTTCAAACTGTATCTACAAGTTCACCTGCAGCTGTGGTGACACCTATATAGGTAGAACCAACAGAATGTTCCAATGTCGTCGAAAAGAACATGTTCCAAAATGGCTACTAAACCATATAGAAAATCCCAATGCGACTAATCTGAATAGAAATCCAGCATCATCCATTGCAAAACACTTATTAATATCAGGTCACAAAATCAATATTAATGACTGTTTCACAATTATTTCACATAACTCTAATTCAAGGCTATTGAAGGTGATGGAAGCACTTTGGATTAATCACATACAGCCTAAACTGTGTGTACAAAAAACAATAGACTTCAATCTTCGCCTACCATGGACTACATGACCTATTTAAATATGACTGGTCATTAGTATGTACTTTTGTTTTTTTATTTAACTGAGTAATTGTCATGAACTTTATTTTATTATTGTTAACCATGTTAGTTGTAAAGCGGTTGTAAAGAAACTACGAAATGATATCATCTCGCGAAATTTGTCTTCTAAATGCCTCATTCAAATTTATCAAAGGGACTAATTGTTTTAATTTGATGTATGTCAGAGATCCTATTTATCTAGATGAGTAGATGCGAAAAAACTCATCAGAAGAAGTTTAACTCTTAAATTTGTTTAAAAGTTAGCTGAACGAGGGAAGAGGTGTGTTTCGATCAATGTCACACGTAGTGATGCGACATTATTTGAGTCGTATACTTCAGATA